ATATTTTATATAATATATAAAAAATTATATAATATATAATAAATTATATATTATATAAAAAATTATATATTATATAAAAAATTATATATTATATAAAATATTATATATTATATAAAATATTATATATTATGTATATATATACATGTTATTTTTGCTAAATAATAAGTTAACAGATGGCGCCTCATAGACAGAAAGACTGACAGACAGGCAGCAGTGAATACATAACCTCTTGGCGTAGGTAAATAGTGAAATATTGGTACGACAGTACAGTCGGAATTCCCTTCTTTTTTACTGCTCCTTGTGAAGCCTAGTATACCAAATAATAGGCCTACTATTTTATGGGCTTCTTATTCCCCGCATTTAAAATAGCGTTTATTCATACTAACAGTTGACAGCTTCACTTCAGTAGGCCTAGTAAATTTGTGTGTTACGAACGATATGAACATAATTTAATGATATATAAATTGTTTGTGTTGTACGTACAAGACGATTTAATCCGCTTTTTAAGCCTTGTTTTATACGCGAGAATATACGGTATGTTGCTATTCATTATTCAAGTCTCTTCGTACATCTAACCACAGACACATAGAGCACTCGAAGAAAATATAAGTACCTTTATTTTGTTTCTCCGTATCTCTATGACAATGTTCCGTACCAGTAGGGCATACGTCACTGAATCCCAATCTGTCTAGAACTTCCCTAACATAACTCGTCAGTCTTCTGTCGTTACTTTTTTCCAATATTTTGTAAAAGGAAGACAACGACTTTTCTATTATCTGTTCATAATAAAATAGAACCACATACCGGTATTTACAACGTTTCTCTGGCATATAATCGGAATGCATTTTCCTCTTATATTTAATAAAATGATCTACAGTGACTTAAAGCGTTTCTATTATTATCATTTCCACAGTAATACCATATTATAAACCTTTTAAATACACTAATTGCTTGTCAAAATTCATTATTGATGTTGCATTAAAAAAATCATTTCTTTTTTTATGATTTTCTTTTAACAGTCATTTGCTGCTGGTGGATACAACTATAAAATATACTGTTTACCTTTTCTTTATTAATAGGATGGACAGCCAGCTGTGCTAATCCCTCCACCAATTCCTGGACAGCAAACCCCGTTGAAGCACCTTCAACTGATCTATCTAAAAAATCTGTCAAATCACTGATTGCGCCTAGGGATTAAGATACAAACTTCACAAATACAATATACAAATATATATGATGATGATGATGATTTATATATGATTTAACAGTGTTAACGGCTACCTTGATTTATGTTATATGCACCTATTTGTTTCTAGCCGTACCTATTGTGTAATAGAGTGTATCTGGTGGTATTTGAATCTGTTCAACCATGAAGCCTCCGTGGTCTAGTGGTTATGACACTCGCCTTGACAGCGAGAGGTCGCAGGTTCGAGTCCCGCCAGAGGCATTTTATTACACAATTTCTTTATTCATTTATTTACAGGACTACATTCGTTGAGAGCTATGCTACACGATGTATTTATTAAGTCCTTTATTCGAACACTGTATTTACCTTTCTTTGATGATTTATATATGTGTTAACGGCTACCTTGATTTATATATATATATATATATATAATATAATATATATATTATATATAATTATATATATTATATATACCGTACATATAGGCCTACATATATATGGCTATATATATATATATATATATATATATATATATATATACATTTTAAAAGTTAAATACAGTATTATAAAAAAGATTAATATCATATTCTTACTATAAAGTTTTCTCTGGGTGGAATCTTACCGTATTTAAGACCACAAATCTCTCTAGAAGATAATACAATACATACTCCAAGTATCAAAATGCATGCCATCGTGTCGGGATTCAATATTTTGACATTAATTATGTCATCATGGAGTTAGAAGATCACTTTGTGCCATTTTAATATCTATATGATTCCTGATGATGACATACGGTAATTAATGTCAAAATATTGAATCCCGACACGATGGCGTGCATTTCGATACTTGGAGTATGTATTATACTATCTTATCTGAGATTAATCAGTGGACTCTACCTTCACACAGTATAGTGAACTTTACTTTTAAGCTACCGTACGTAATAGCATGTAGGTAACAGCTGGTATATCAAGGAAATATTCAAAATAGGTTTTTGAA